TAGTTTCCACTTGTGTCTTTTGTTTGTGTTTCACTATTCATTCTGATGCAGTCCTCTGGTTTGACATTTCTCAATGTCCTTGTGGATATACAGTGTATATATGCAATCCCCTCGTAGTCTTCCCCGTTCAAGTCTAAAAAAGGTTCAGTTCCTTTATATTACAGTACTTTGTCCTTCCACTGCCTGAGGCATGTTGTTGATTTCTTCCTTAATGATCATGTGAGTGAAATACTCATGTAGTACAATACTTCGGTCATTTCCCTTTTATTGTCGTGAAACTTCCCATTATCGTCCCGGATGAATTTTACTTCATCCTTAACAGTGACTTCAGCTCCAGACAGGCAAAGCAAAAGTTGTAGGTAAATGTCCCACAGCACTTGTCAAATGGGAGAATAACTACCATTTCCTGCTCAAAATAATTTCCTCATGTACCCCACTTCACCAGCACTTCTTTTCTTCTCTAGTTATTTAAAAAGAATAATAGGTTTACAGCTTCTGCCCAAATAAAGGAAGTCTTACTGTACATTTCATACATCTTGTCCTTTGTGCCATTATCAGTTATAAATCTAATATAAAAAACTCTGCTTTTTCCCTAATTGGCTAAAATGTTTTTTTGCATTGTTTACCTGTCTTGTGCATTAGCCTTCTAGCAAAATAAATATATCAATAACAGGGCAGACATTCTTCATCACATTATTTTTTATTACAATTTTTACATTTATTACATTTTAAGATTTTTTTTCATGACATTTATGGTTTTTTTTAACAATGGTAAAAAAAACAATGTTTCATTGTTAAGAAGCTCCTTTGTACTCAGATGTGCAGAGTGAATGTGTCTCGGTTACAATAAATAAAACAATACTGTATTTTTAAGAAACGCTCTTCCTTTACTATAAACAAAGACAGAGGTCTCACTGAAGGGTAGCAATTTAGAAAACAACTACAGCAGCAGAAATTTGGTTTCCTAAAGTTATAATGACTTTTATTAATGGTCTTGAAGTCAAATATTATATGAAGGAACATTTAAAACTGCAGGGTGATTGTTGGAACTCTTAATGTGTCTGAGTTAAATTGGTTTTTACACGCTCCCACTAACATTTAAGAGATTAAAGTAGGTAGTAATATTATTCTGATGACAAGCTAGGCAGTAGTAATAATAAGGAAACAGCTCACAGAGAATTTCAAGTGCATCATAAACTCTCTTTCATCATAACCTGGAGAACCGGAAAAAAATGAAAGGCATGTTTTCAGTTGAAATAAATTTAATAAAAATTCTGCTAGAAATATTCTTGTTAGAAGTCAGAAAAACTGTTAATTTCAGGCTTCGCGGCACAAATAACTGGGCTACTTATTCAAAATAAATTACACAGGCCTTGCTTTATTAACAATAATTTTTTAAAAAGAGCCTTCCATCTTAACTCCAGTTTGGGTGTCAACCAAATACACAGGTCTCCTAATGAATAAGGTTAGACAAGGTTAACTACTGGAGAAAGCTGAAGAATTATGATACAGACAATAATTCAGATAAAAAATTTCAATCTTATCAAAATTTCAAAATTTTAAATCATCTGATGCTGACCTTTCCATACTTAAGTGCTGTATTTTTTCAAGTTGTACCTGCAAGCTGTTTGAAACCATTTAATATTGTCAGAACATTCGCTTACTTCCAGGTTGTTTCTACTAATACGTTATATTTTGCGTCCAAACCAGGGGTCTCGAACACAAGGCATCTACAGCCCGCAAAGACTTACTTCGACTAACAAAAAGTTCCCAATAATATTTGGGCGTATTGGTAATTTGATACTGTAGCGCCCTCTCCAGGTAACGAAGTGGATTTGCACCCGGATAATGCTTACGCAGCGGTGCAGGCTGGGAACTGTTTCGGGGGATGGTCTGAGGGTCCGCTGGGTGATTGCCGATGTAAATGAACCATTGGTTCATTTGTATATGCAAGGATTTAGTTTTTTTATGGGATTCGTGAATGTTCTCATATAAATATGCTATAGACATGTTGCTTCATAGCTCCGAGGTCCCAGGGCTTGCATATTCTCCCCATGTGTGAGGGGCTTTCTGTGGGTGTTTCTGCGTCACCCCCCAGTTCAAAGACATGTTCTGGTTGACTGGCATCACTGAGAGCACACACGATAAATGTGTGTGTGTTTGTTCGAATGTGTGCGCATTTGTGTGAGTGAATACTGTATGTGTGTGTGTTTGAGCAAATGTTTCTCTGTGTTTGTATGTTTGTTCAAATGTATGTGCATCTGTGTGAGTGAATGTGTGTTTATGTGTACCTGTAAGTGAATGTTTTTGTGTTTATGTGTAATGAATGCGTATGAGTGGATGTTTGAGCAAATGCGTTTGTGTGTATGTGCGAGTGAATGTGGGTATGTTTGAGTAAATGTGTTAGTGTGTACTGTATATGTACTGTAAGGGAATACTGTATGTGTTTGTGTGTATGTGAGTGAATGTGTGTGCGTATATGTGAGTGAGAGTGTGTGTTTGTGAGTATGTGTGAGTAATGCATGAGTGAATGTGTATACAGTATGTGACCTGCAATGATCTGATGTTTTGTCCAGGTTGTAGTCACCCTCTGCCTCCCAGTATAGTATAAGAATAGAACATTCACTGAAGGTGAATGAATGGATGTCTCCAAGCAAAGAGAAACTAATAAAGCATCTCATTCGTAAAAACGGAAATTGTAGTCAATGTTGGTATCAATCCTGTTTCAGTTTTCTTTCCTATAATTCAGTTTACTCTGTTCTGTGAGCCTGGTCTGTCTTTTGGTGTGCAGGTGTGGAGATGCCCTGCATTTGCTAGTACTGCTCTTGAACTGCCTTTATGTGACGTTCTTTGGGTTCATTAAAGATACAGGAGTGTGTCAAATACCCTCCGAAAACTGAGCTCTCCCATCATTCACTGGGAAGCAATAGATCAGACTCGCCCACAATTCCCCAGGCGCCTGTCTCTCTCCTCACCAGGAAAGCATCAGCCTTCCTTGGAAGAGAGGGAACAAATGGTTCCTCTATCATTGCGGTTCACTCTCGGTGGTTTCTGCCCACACGTGCCCAGCTTCTGAACAAACACAGCAAAATGATGGCTTACACACGCGGCACCGTGATGTGGCCGTTATTGTTAATATACCTCAGCTTTAGAGTTCTGGGTTTGATTCCAGACCTTGACATGGAATCACACTGAAGAGTCTTTTTAGCCTACATGTTCTTTTGTTTTCATGGGTTTTCTCAACGTGCTTTCTTTTAGTCTCACTGCCCACAGACGTGGGTTTTAGGCCCAGTCAGCTGCCTTGGCGGTGTGGATCCCCTTAAAGGAGGGTTCTTCATTTCATTGCTTGACCTTGTGTAAATATGCTGTCTATAACCTGTTCTGGTTACAGAGCTGTAGAGAGAGTTGTAGGCTATATCTGTCTGGGGATTGTGTTTGCTTTGTTTTGTATGCAAAGTGTGTGTCTTCCTTTACTTTAACATCTCATATCTGAGTGTTTACTTAAGCAGATTCAGTTATTTGAAGAATGGCGTCTTACTTACGAGCATGCTTATTAATAAACGAAAATATTTGTTTCCCGACATTTATGTGATGCTTGATTCCCAAAATATGTTTCGTTATTTGCTCACTTGTTTCACACTGCTAGGTTTTAAAATTTCATCATTATACCCAAGGCACAGACTTTGCAGTATTTCTGGAATATTTGAAGTTAAATAACACTGTGTTCTACCCTGGTCTATGCTTATCTTGGTAAAGTTTGAACATTATTTTGAAGACTTTTTTTTGTCACTGTTTCAACTGATATATTTTTTTCTTGGTCTTGGTAAAATATATTTTTTAGCTGCTGTACTGAGGCATTATGCTTGCTAGAGGAAATGAAGGGGCATTCATCAATATTTTAAAGATTAGTTAGTAACGCTGGCACTGTGGCTCATGAATATTAATTTACAGAACAGGAGCCGTTTTCATGTAGTAATATCATTCAAAATGTATTTGTAAATCATAATCTTTGGACAGTGTAATAGCCTTAGTGACTGCTGAGGTGATTTATTAATGTTTTCCACATAGTAATCAGGGAAACGTTTTGTGGGGTTGTTTAATGTTCAGAGTTGTCCCTTCTCCCATCTCTCCTGCTACAGTAAATGTTGTTTTTTGTTGTTGCACTGAGACTCCCAAAGGAACAAGTTAATGTTCTTTGAGGGAAAATATCTTTGCTCTAGATTAAGCGAGATTGGTTATTAAAACGGAACACATTTAAAATGGAGAGGAAAAGCATGTTAGCAAACTCCGATTGCTGTAAAATAAATTAATAAATATAACAAGGCTCCATAAATTATTTACACACCATGTGTGAAAATATCACTGTAGGCACTGAATATGAACTGGAAACATGGTATTTATATGAGGACTAATGTTTTCCTGTATTCTTCAGTCTCTTTATATTTTATGTAGTATATGACGTTTCTATGCTTTGTACATACTGTACGTTTCCACAGCTCTGTTACCATGTGTGACAAACGCTCTGTTGTTCTGTTAAAATATTTGTGACTAACAGCAGGAGTGGACTTACATCCATCCAGTAATGTACCATTTTGGGCATTTAATATTTAAGGAACCATTTTATTTTAGAGGGATAAAATGAAGGAAAGCTTTCAGGCTGCAATTATTCATCCATCCGTCTTTAGTAACCATGTGATTGCTACAGGGTGCTGGAGCTAAGCATGCAAAGCCCAAGGCAGAGCTACTCACTGCAGTGCTATACCAGGATAGCGCTGGTGGAGCTGGGGGGCTGGGCAATTGGCACAAGCCAGTTAAACTGAACAGCGTGTCTTGGGATTGTAGGTAGAACATGCAAACTCCAAACAGAAGGCAGTCTTCCAGGTGTGCATTCCACCAGTCTGGAATTTAACCTGTATTCCACTGTGCCACCCAATAGGTTATACTGCAAAATGCCATCATACAAATAACGAGAACGGCTGACTGTCTTTTAGGACTTGTGTTACGTGCAATACTGTATGTGTTATTTCAGGAAGGACAATGTCGGGAATACATTACTTTAATGTAAACCATGTCTGTTAGGAGTAATTCTGCTTTATGTCCCATTTATGAGCATGTAGGTGGATTAATAGACAAGAACCATATAGTACATAAGTTTGGCAGTAGAATAATTGTGTGTCTGTGCAGTTACAATAGGTGCTGATCTTCTCTTGTCAGGCTCTGTTTTCTGTTAAATACTTTGTATGTTCACTGTGAATTAACAAACCCTGCTAGAAAGAAGATATTGCCTTCTCTGTAATTAAAACATGCTCTTTCAAGTGATACTGTGACGCCTTACCAGAAGCAGTTACAGTAAATGAAAAGTGTGGACAGCTAACTATAGGAGCACCTCCTCTCCGGAGTCAATAGATCAGTCTTTGCTGATTCTCTCCTACACTCTCACTTTTCCAGTCTTTTCCCTTTTGTCCTCCTCGATTTGAAGCAGACAAATGCTTTTTATTAGACGTCTCGTCTGACTGCACTCTCAAGACAAGGAGTTTGACCTGGGCCAGTGATCTGATGTGAAGTCCAAATGAACCTGTCATTAACTGAAGGAGCCGCATCCTTCAGTGAGGGGGATCAGTTGGAGGAGGATTTGTTCAAGAATATTCAGGATTGGATTCTTGGCATTATGCCTACTTATTGAAAATTGTGTTGGCCACAAGTGAGGAGGCTTTAAAAAATAGGCATAAGTAGAGCAATGTTATCGCTGCTGTGCAAATGCATTACTAGTAACTATGCTACTTACAACAGGGAGGACGTGGAGAAAGAGCTAAGCGGTCTGTTTCTACCTAAGAAAACGTATATGTGAAAGAGAACGCTTTTTTGTTGACATGCAGTATATTAGCTTTGGGCCTTTTCTTAGCTTAAGGTGGAGAAGTTAAGCAGTAGCGATGTGATCATAGCTCCATCTGTTGTCAGTTCTGAGAACATGAGCAAAATTCAGAGAATAGCAAGAGTCAATTTCTTTTGTCCCATCTTGTGTGTATAAAAGCTTGTCTCTGATTGATCCAAGAGCCTCGTCAACCTAATTCTCAAAGGATCCCATTGAAAAAGAAACCATCTACTTTTTGATGTCTTTCTAAAGTCTGTAGGAGCCAAAATGCACAAATTCTCTCCTCTCAAGGTTCTACATTTCCAGCATTATAATGTCTGGGCTGTAATCTACAGTAGTTCCAGGTATTAAAGGATGGATGGGGGACATAACAAAAATCTGGATCTCCGTCAGATGTTGATATATTCCGTCTTGTCCTCATCAGACAGCCTGCATTCATATTTGGCATCCAAAGTAACAATATATGTTTAATTTGTGAAAATTAAGGACTGTTTTAATGATGACCCTACTAAGTTCTTAAACTGTACTGTTTGATTTTGTTTAAAACGGCAAAAGAAACATTTTGGAAAACAATAATAAATCATTTACCTTGTCAATAATAAGAGGTGATATTTCTTCATCTACTTTTCAGGTTCAACAAAATCCAAAACACCAAGGTCACCATGAAGCGTGATGGTATCAACTCCCTTCAGTATCGCCTTGTCCAGGTCACAAAGTACCCTCTGTACACAAACGTCTCCGTGGAGATCGGCAAGCCCCCACCTCGGCCTCCAAGAGGATAGGGCCACGCCTCACGTCAACACGCACACAGTAACTCTCCTGCTGGACTTCTTTCTCTCCCTGTCTGCCTCAGGCCCAGTCAGAAAAGAGAAGCCTTAAACAGTGCAGACAGGCACCATGGGCCTACAAAAGACACAAAGCCTTGTGCTTTTCTGAGACTCTTGAGATTTATTTGTTTTGTTTTTTTTTCTTTTCCGGGTCCGGCTGTCTTCATGACTACTATCTCAAAATGCTAACCTCGTGAGGGAAAAAAAAATTACAAAACGGACCGGCGATAAAGCTCGTCATCCAGTGGGTGAGGTTCTGAACGCTGGATTGAAATTAGAATTTCTTTTTTTAGGTTTATTTTTTTACGTAACATATACTTGTATTCTTTTGTAACTATACAACAACAAAATTAAAACTTCAGAGGCATATTACGTTCACCGACTATTTTTTTAGGATAGACAATATTAGTGAGAAACCATGGAGAGCTACTGTAGGTTGCTATCTTTGTTGTTCTGCTCAAGGGTAACATTTACAAGCCTGTTTAATCCATTACCTGTAAACCCACCAATGTTATTATACTGAGATTGTTATACTAACAACCTGGACATATAACCAAGACCAGCCTAATTGTTTTGAACTGTCAAGATTACTATATACATATATATTGTATATATGTGTGTATACATATGCTAAAATGAATGTGTATCTATACAGGCTTTACACATACTGTAATTGTGCTGGTATTAATATCACTTTACAAATACAGGGCCTCAAGATAAGTGTTCAACAGAAGACTCTGTGAATTGACTTATTTCCCTTGCATCTGGGATTCGTACCAAGACATCTGTCAGGTTTTACAAAAGGAGTTCAGTCAGCCAGGAAGGCGAACACTGGTCCAAAAACTGGGTGAAGCTTTCAGGGCTAATGAAGAATATTTAGCCTGTGAAACTGGAAAACAACCATTCAACATCATCATTCTGTCATTATAATTCTGACGGAGGAAATACTGTCTGAATCGACCTTTTATATACTGGTATGGAGATCAGAAATTGTTTTCTGATTTACACGCATAAGGAGTCAAAGGACTGTTGCCACATTTGGCATTTAAGATTTAAATGAGACTGAGTGATGGTTTGACTGTAAATCTCGCCAGCATTTCTGGATGGGGATAATCACTTGCTTATTTGCTCTTTACATTTTGCTTTGATTTTGTTTTGTTGTTAGTTTTTTTTTTTCAAAATACCAGACACACTTTTGACAAACAAAAACTGCTTAAACATGCACCTTCTTTTATTTCAGACCATTTTCTTTTATTTGTACTGCCTAAACACCAAACTGATGCCTTTGGAATTTTTATGAGTGGCAAACAAGATTGAGGAATGCTGCATTCTGGGAGATTTTTCTATTAATGTTCCTGTGTCTCGTGAAGTGATGTGAAAACCTTTCTCTTTTGTACTGTTAATGGTTTTCTTGGCTCGACTAAAAAAACTGTACTAGTAATGAAAACATTTTTTTTTCCCTCTTGGGTTTATTTTAAGACATTTCTTAAAGAATGCTTGCTTTTTTATTCTTTTTTTCTTAATTTGCTCCACATGACTGTGTGCCTCTTTCTATGTTCCTGAGTTATTCTTTTATGGCAGTGTTCCTCTCTGTCATCTTTGATGAATACTTCAGTATCTTAGTTTTATAACTGAAGATGCTTTGTTGGCATATCATAATCTGCATCCTTAAAATAATATTCATATTTGTTTCACAGAAAGCCCAAGTTTTCCTTTTGTGGTATTAATTAACTAGTACTATTTATGCTTTTTTGTAGGTTGAGGGGGGATATTTTTATTTATGTTTGTGTAAAACATTTCCTAAGTGACAAGATTTTTTTACTGCCAATCCAGAAACAGGTTTGCTACTGTAATTGTTCATTTTATGTTGATAGCCTCTCTTAAACAGTAAATACTGTAGCTCATCACACTTGCTGTACATAAAAGCCTATGATAAGAGCTAGGAACTCAAGGTATTCCTTTGGGTTCCATTCAAGTCTGTGTAAAATAAGACAAGTTTTTCAAGGTATAATCTGCAAGTGTTCTGAATACATTTTTAGCTTTGAGACTTTTTTTCATTCCTTAAGCAGAATTGTCTTTTATCAAGGGCTTGTGTGCATCTTTTGAAGTTACCAACTAGTGACATATAGCTTTTTAACCAATGATTTCTAAGAATAAATATAACAAACAAGTGATATCTTTGCATTTCAGGACAGAGCAAACTGAAGCATTTAACGTACACAAATGTACGTGTAAAAGACGTAATGAACTCCTTAAAACATTAGATTAAATTTTTGAGGAGTGTTCATTGCTGATAAACTTAAATGCAAATGTAAAGACCATACAACATTTTTTTTTCAAAACCAGAGAAAAAAACAGAATTCTAGCACTTGCTCTTCCAAGAAAGCATTCCTTTAAAATGCAGGGAGGAAGTCCAAGATGGATGTTATATTCTGGGATTCTAACTTATTTATACAGTACAGTTTCATTTTCATTTTCAGAGGGGATGTGCCCTGCCCTTCAATTTAGTTTAATATATTTGTTGGTGAGGCAGGTGGTTTTTCCTTTGCTGATGGTGTATAATGTTTGGAGCCACAAGTTTACTGATCATTTTTCCCTCAATCTCAAATTTAGGATGCGCCTTAATTTAATTAATCAATGCACCATATTAAGTACGTCAATAGGTATTTTGCCTATGTAGATGACAGCTGTCAGATCCTGGTTCTGGAGGGCCAATGTGTCTGCAGGTTTTCAAAGTCTCGGTGCCTAAAGAGCTGGGAACAGCTGTTAAATTGGTCCAGTTAAGACAGTAATTATTTGATTAAGTTCATTAGGATCTGAGCTGGAGTGAAAATATACAGGCACACCAGCTCTCCAGATCCAGAACTAGAGAGCACTGATCTAGACATTTACAACCCATTTCACAGTAATCTGGGCTTTCTTCACTATTTCAGATCATCCCTGATTTTCAATGCAAAGTCTCTTGGTTAATTAAAACTATTTCCTCCATGGTTATTATTTTCAAATGAGATTAAGATTAGTGACGCCAGATGTGCACTTATGAAATATCAATATTAACATTTTTTACAACCTATCCATTAATCACTCAAATGCATTGTGAAAGGCAATAGGTATTGAGTTGTTAGGGCTTAAATGTGTTAGATCTGCTGTTAGTAAAGAAGAACAGAAAACAAATCTTATGCCCCATTTCCTTGTGCCCTTTGGAGTAATTATTTAGTACAGAATAATTTGCTTTCATGTAAATGCATTCTTGTGACTTATGTATGAGGTAATTTAGAATGACTTTTCCTGGGAATTGTCACAGTCCACTATCTGAAAGATGGCCAAGGTCTTGTTTATATACAAAATTGACAGAATGTTTAAGTTTGTTTTACAAGAAAGTTTGCCTTTCAATTCTTTTAATAACACCAAACTGACGTACAGTAAAATTTAGGTATCAAATACTAACAGAGAATACATGTAGCTTCTGATGGCAGATAATTCTAAAATGATGCTCTTCGGAGGATTATGCATTCATAATTAATCCATCTTCTGTTGTTTGGTGCTATCAAAAACAAACTGCATTGGGAATTTTGATTCAGTCTGCGTTAAGCCTACTGTCGAAGGAAAAGAACAACAAAAATGAATTAAAGATTTGAGTTTAAACAAATATATATGCTATACAGTACATATACTGTACACCAAACGTTATGTATTCATGTTTATATATATACTAGACATATAAAGAAAATTGAAACACCCAATATCATTTAGTCGTAAGATTTCAGCAGTGCTACATCTGTTAAGCTTTGCAAGTGTGTTAAATATATGGAGTAACTTTTTTCACTTTGTGGATGAATTTAAGAATCAAAAGAAAGCAAGTGTCATCCATGCAACCCTATGCTGGCAAGGGTGCCATCAGTTAAATATTAAAATAAAGCTTGAAATGAACCAGTAATAAGCAGCTTTCTGCTAGCAGATGTGTGTGTGAATGTACTGTATCTCATGGTTCAGCAACTTGAGCCGATATGGCCCAGGTTTGTATAGGATGACATGTCCAGTTTTCAGCAAATTCAGCCAGCCTGCGTCTTGACAGGTTGGCACTGTCTTCAAAATGTCATTCCCAAGCCGATTGTTTGCAGAACGTGTTGAGATCACATCAATTATCTTACTTTGTTAAGCAAATTAAATAGGGTTCAAATACAGTGTTCTTGTCTGGCCTTTCTCCGATATTGAATTCAAGACCATCACGTTACTGTAATTTTCAAAGGTAATGAGAATTGATCTGTCAAGGTATTGACGGCTTGAGGTAGGTTTTCATTTCTTTCTCATCATTCACTGAAACACCCAATTTGTCTGCTAGCGTTTGATTGGGAAGCACGAAGACTGTGATATGCCTCACCATATAATACTTACTTAACCTATCATCTGCAACAAGGTCATCACCTGTATTACAGCTTGTCTGCCACAGGTGCTGCTCAGCAAATGCAATCTGAGAAATACTGTACCACAACACTGTAAGTCAGAAGAACTGAGTTAAGGCTAGAAGCAAGAGCCTGTGGAGCAACAGCAAGTGATGCAGTGCTGCACGTTGTTTTTTTCATTCTGCGCACGCCAGTACCCACACTGCTGAAAGGTATTTGAAGAGCTGTGACCTACGAATGTCGAAATTAGACATTTAAAATTAGATTGTTATATTAGGTGCAAAGAATGACCGCTTTATTATTGCCAACATTTATATGTACAGTATAATTAAGTTTGGCTTTTAGTCGCGCAATGTCTATTATAAGTTTGCAAGTTAACTCTTGTGATTGATATTAAAAGGGGTCGATCTTTATAATCACCTGGTGTGGATACAGTATATCAATATGCATGTGATATATCCAGCGGGATAGTGTTGGGAATTGGATTGGCGATTTCCAGCATGAAATCTGGAATATTTGGGGATTCCTTTCACAGAGGTCTTTCAAAGAGGTCTGAGAAATGACTAGATGGATCCCTGAAATAACTTTCTGGATTCCCAGTGACCACATTGGTTGACGGACTCCAAAACAACATCTTACAACGCATTAAGTGTAATCTTAGAAAACATGTTCTTGGTAAGAAAAATACACAATTCTGCATTTTGTTTGAATTAAAGGGATAACTTATCATAACACCAGACTTTTCAGGTCTGTTTTTTTTTTCCTGTTTTAGAAAACAGAGGTTCAAAGAAGCCCGCCTTTCAGCAAAGTCTGCAAGAGAACGTTTGCTCGGTTGCTGTACTAAAACTAAGAGAAATTGGGATATCATTTGGAATGTAACTAGATAACTTTCTCATTAGCTTCAGGGAATCTAACATGTTCAGTGTGTGGTTATACTGTTAAAAACAAGTCGGAACATTCTTGTCACCCGTTTTTGTCTAAATCATGTTGATACCAAAATTGTAGTTTTCCTTTTTAGCTTTAATTTAATAATTTTACATCACTAAAGTAGTAACTTTACATTGTGTATATAGTTTACAGTTAAAATGCTTATGTGCCTGCATTCCAAATGACTGTTTTTGTATAAATAAAATAGTGCAGTTCCAAACTTACAGAATTCTGGACTAAATGAAAAAACAGGAAAATTGCATAGACTCTGAGGTGAACATGTGATTTGTGCATTTTTCTGATGTCATCATACCTTGTAGCATCAATTTTGTAATTGCACATTGGGATTGCTAATATTGTGCAGTAAGAAGTAAGAATTTGCTGTTTGACCTCTCCTGTAATTTAGAGCAGTGAATGACGTTCTGTGGTAGTACATAAGGAGTAAAGATTGGAGGGATTTTTTTCAATTTGTTTTTTCAGTGACTTTGACGTTAAACCCAACTACTATATTGCCCTTCTTAAGAATCTCTGTTCACTTTTCTCCTTCTTCAGTTTCTGTTAGCAGAATTAGTTATCACTTACACTTAATGTTTTCTACAGCCGTTTTAAAAAATATTTTTTTTAGTTCGATTTATTCACACTCATTAGAACTGATCTGTTCCTCAGTGTGTAAAGTATATAATGAAGATTTTAAGTGTGACACTTTGATTCTTCTGGGTTTTACTAATCTGATTAGACTGGTTTCTTGTGCCCAGTACTGTATTGATTGCATTTAAACAATATTTTGGGTAAATAAAGATAATTGGTAGAGTATTTGAACACATACATACCAAGAATCTATACACTATTGTATTTAATGCCTGCATTGTAGCATTTACAAATCTTAATACTGTCAACATTTTATTATAATTTTGCTTTAATGCAAAACTATTTTTTGTAATGCAAAATTCTAATAAAAACAGATTTATTTCCTTTGTTTGTATTCCTAGATAATTTAAACATGAATTAGTAGTTCGTTTCTGGTACGCCTGTGGTGAAAAGCTGTTTTTACTGTATTTTACCCATACAGAGCTTAGTTATGTACTCATCAAGCCCAAGTAAAACATGCAGTAAAATGAAAATGTTTAAATTTACACCACTTCAGGTTCCTTCTGGATTTCTTTTTCAACCACTGATGGTGCATAGCTGTTGTAGCGTTGTTCCATTATTGTAAACGTAAAAAAAACCACAGATTTCTGCACCAGAACACTGCTTTTAAAAGTGTAGGAAACTGCATTATGATTTTGAAAAGCTGTAGAAAGACTTTTCATTTGTCCCTGTGTGAAACTGAACAAAAGACCATTTGCTCAATGCACATATACTGACAGCCTTGGGCTTCAGGCTCTGGGGGTGTTTTAAAGAATTTACCGTATCTATTTAGGTTTTGTACATTGAATGTTGAAATTGTAAAATCTTATATAGAATGCATAATGTCATATCCAACCTACTTTTTTGTATACAATCAATAAATAAGAAAAATAATTAAAATAAACTGTTGTCCTTTAAATCTGGTTCAAATCATATCGGTCTTTACTGTTGTACAGAAAAAACACAAATATTCTTGCAAATATTTAGACTCAAGAGTCCAAAATGGTGGATATTATGACCATAGTGTGTGATGATCTTACTGCTTGGTGCCTTATGACCGATCCAGATGTATAGCCTGAGAAATGCACTGGGGAGCTGGCATAGAGAAAGGGGAAAAGGGAAAGAGATTAACACCACTTCTGCTGTTGTAAATAAGAATCACTATAAATAATGTAGGTAAGTACAAGGAATGTACTCAATAAAAATAAGTGACAAATTACTGATTGGCCCCTACCCTGAGTTCTTACTGTTCCACCAAAAATCTAAATAAATGAAACATAGGAAACACGTGAAATATATATTCACAGATACTGAAAGTGTTTCAAAAATTCACTCGAATTACAGTGTTCATTATTATGTTAGAATCGTATCTTGATTTATCCCAGTGGCAGCAGGAGAATAAGAAATGCATTTCTCCTTCCATATATTGTCCATGCTGGCTTCTCTGGTATGCCATGCAACCCAAATAGCTGATCATGGGGAAAAAAGCTCAGCAGTATTATTACTACAGTGGCGAAATGTAATTATAGACACAGATAGCATAAAGAGTTCCTTCATTATAAAGTTTTGATTTGCTTTTTACTGATTTTACAGGTTTGCACCCCAGTGCTGTAATCTGTAATACTCCTGTTTTTTTTCTTGTTCCTATTCCAGCAGCCAGCAGCCATATCACCCTGCAACTCACAACTGGCAACCCACTGAAGCTAAGCAGGTGTGAGCCTGGTCAGTACCTGGATGGGAGACCTCCTGGGAAAGACTAAGGTTGCTGCTGGAAGAGGTGTTAGTGGGGCCAGCAGGGGGCGCTCACCCTGTGGTCCATGTGGGTCCTAATGCCCCAGTATAGTGATGGGGACACTATACTGTAAAACAGGCGCCGTCCTTCGGATGAGACGTAAAACCGAGGTCCTGACTCTCTGTGGTCATTAAAAATCCCAGGGCGCTTCTCGAAAAGAGTAGGGGTGTACCCCGGTGTCCTGGCCAAATTTCCAATTGGCCCTTACCATAGCTGATGTGTGGTGAGCGTTCTGGCGCACTATGGCTGCCGTCGCATCATCCAGGTGGATGCTGCACATTGGTGGTGGTGGAGGGGAGTCCCCATTACCTGTAAAGCGCTTTGAGTGGAGTGTCCAGAAAAGCGCTATATAAGTGTAAGCAATTATTAATTATTATAATTATTCCTTTTAAATCCTTTTCTCTCCCACTTCCACAGTGAAATGAATATTGTAATAATACATTTCTAGCTTGACAGCTATAGTAACAGATTACTAAAAACACATAGGTAGGTAGGTAAGTCAGGTCCCCTTTTCAGGCCACAAAGGCCCATGGGGGAATGGGGGAGCGAGGGCCACCATTTTTCTCAACCATCCAACACTGGAGGTGGAGGTGATGTGGTCAGCATCACTCTCCAGCCAGCCTATTACCCCCAGAAGGATTAACCCCCAGTACTCATTTGGAAAGCAGGCTGAGTGGACCTGAGAGCTGTCTGGAAGGAATTAGAGCAAGCTACATCACCTGCCCCTACCTGGGATTGAACCCAGGACCTTCCGGTTAGGAGCGAGACGCCCTTGCCTTCTGAGTTACCACAGCTCCACTAAAAACACATATCAGACTGTTAAAAGACATAGGCCTCTTTACCTGTTGCTACCCCTTAGCTGAAGTCTTTGCTTCCTATTCATGAACTAGTTCTAAATCTGAATACTGTATACACATGAGTACCCACTGTCTGACTTTTTCTCAAAAAGCCTTCTGAAAAATTTGGATGTATCATATGATATACATTTGTATCCATTATTGCAACAGCTTATTCAATGAAGTTTAACAAGTTAAGCATGACCAAATTTTCCTAAATCCATGTCAATTATCTCCTAGAATCCTCATGAACCTCTAGTTTAGTTCTTACTATCATTTGCATATCCTTTCAGGCAACAAAAGTATGACTGCTAGGTCTTTAATAGCTTGTTTCATGTTTTCCTATCCATATATGGGTGGGCCCTACCCGAGCAATTTTCCAGGCAATTAGTATTATCAGTTTTGAGTCACTATTGGAAAAGCTTTGATTGGTTGTACAGTATACCTAATTATTTATTTTCTAGGATCTGTACTACTTCTGCCCCTTCTTGGCTAACATTATTTAATACTGAACATTGTCTTTACTAAGCCTGGGGCTTGTTTCTTTCTTGAACACCTGAGTGAAATCTCAGCTGCTGTTTACCTTTCTTCATCAAAATGTTCCTTATTTTTTGGCTTATGCATGTTAAAATTTTACCACTGTAATAAAGAAAAACTACTTCCATTTAACTACTGTTACAATATTCTTTTCCTTTTATTAGATTTTCGAATATTTTTCTAATGTATATGCAGTTACAATTCATTCTTTAACTGGAGGGGGTTCTTTTAATCACTTTGTAGAGTGCTTTCTTTCTCCTCAATTTTGAAGCTAAGGAGTAGAACTATAATGGAAGAATATTCTTTTTACATTGAGCATAAAACAGTGGGCATGGAAAGCTATTAAACAATGACAAAAGACATTTCAAGCATAGTTAATAAAAAAAACAAGAGTCTATTACACAATGTATGCAGACAGTATAATTTCCAAACAGGACAGCATTTGTTAAACAAGAATATATATTGTAGTTTACATCTTTACTGAATAAAGCAATGCACTCATACTCTAAAATAATATTCACAAAGTAATGGATTGCTTTTCACAGAAGACATCGCCTGGATCATTAAGAAACTAACAGAGCTTCAGTCAGCTGTTTAATAGGACTTTTTTATTCTACTCTTTGTTTGGCTGTGTATTCATGATTGTGAAGAAATTATACCTTTTCTGTATCATTGAACTCGCATTTGTATGTCAGTAGTAAATAATATTTCAGTCAGCCTATATTCAATAGGTACTTATATGTAACAAGTACTATTTGTTTATTGCCTTGATGTTTCATGGGTAAATATTTTATGCAATTACTGTAGATTGGTCTGTGCCATTGTAGTGTACCTCAAAGCAGGGATGAGATTTTATTATTACTATTAAAACCCCAATTTGAAAGGCACTGTACTGGACACAAGTATGTTTAAAGATTAGTGCCCATGTCTATCTGAGTGCTTTGAAAGCCAGTAAGGGAAATCACGTGATGCTGACAGCTCATTTACAGAGGAACCCATGCCTGCATGGACATACACAAGCATTTCACTTCCAAGAAATCCAATCTGATCTAATAAAATAGAAAAAAACTTTCATTTTTCTTCCTAAGATCACTATGCATCAGCTTTTAACGATGGCAGCTTCAGTAATGGTGGCGTTACTTCTTAGTATGAAAACAGACATGAATAATTCCATCCAATATAGGCATTGTGTTTTGTCCATAAACATTAACATTGCTTGATGACTGCTCCTGCATGAAGTGAAATGTAGAAACTGACAATGAATCTCCACTGATGAAAGTCAGCCAGGCAGCCTATTATTGTTTTAATACTTTGGTCCTTTAGATTAATTTTGGAAGAGAGTACATGATGGGGAAAAAAAGACGCATTAATGCTATAAAAGAAGCCACTTGGTCTTTTCTGAAGGAAGCAGATTTCAAAAGAGGATAACTGGAACTCACTACACAAGATCCACTTTGGTTATGAAGCTTTTAGGGGGTTTTCTCTTTTAAAAAGGAAATTGCGAACGGGAACAGAAGTAAAGGAGGAATCTACAACCGTTTCAGTTCTTTTTGAAGAGTGATGCCCACTCCTGTTAAGCAGGTCTGCCATCTCAGATGTGGCTGTTTTCAGCATCTAGGGTACAGTTCCTCAGGTGCACACACCTGGCCACCCGGTTACCCTCCCAGTACCCGGCGTCGTGCCCGTCGTGGCACCGACACGTAGTGCAAGAGTCGATCCACACTGCCTCCCCACCTCGGATCACGCGTGTCTGGGAAGAGTCGGCATAGCAGTTTGGGCCTGAAATGTCAAGGAAGAAGAGAAAGACAATTCAAGCACATTACAAAACCAGCTGATAGGATTCATAAGGAAAAAACCCACAGGACACACATATATATGACATGCTGTATGTGTTTGCTAGGGTTCATCACATTTAAGTTTCAGTAATACATAATGTATAAATCATTAAACATGTGTATAGTATTTTGAAATAATGAATTCCTACTGTTCTTCCAAACTGTGATTTTGTATAGTCAAATGTCATGATGTGTACAAAAACGGTAAATCACAAAAGAATAGGACTCCGATGTTTTTATTGCTACTGTGGTTGCTTTTCATGTCCGCACATTTCTGCACAATCCCTTTGGGTTGGGAAGGCATTTTTAAAGTGCTTCCTACTGTATATAGTTCTCCACCTGAAACTACATGCTGAATAGCACTAACACAACTAATCAAAATTCTCAGCAAAGCAACACCTGAAGATGATTTATTCTCCCGAGCAATATTATTACAGCTGTGTTACAGAATATTGATTGCACAGTAGCTGCATAATACCTACTGCACCAAACCAAAAACTTTGTAGAATAATGTAGGCACGCTGGACAGGGGAAATGGCTTACCTTCCTTGCACTCAGGACAGCACTTGCCTTTCTGGTAGACTGGGTTGACGCAGGGTGGGGGGGCACAATCTGCCACCAGGCACCGGGCAATGCCATCAGAGTCACAGGTGCACTGTTCACACTCAGAGGGCTGCCAGACACGGACACAGAAGACGGGCTGTCAAACACACTGGAGCGGTTTATTACGCTATAGAGAAAGAAACTTATGAGCACCCAGCATCACACAGATGTACAGTATCTATACATCATAACCCACACTGTGTCATTACAGAGATGTAGTGGGAACCCCTGTCTCACAGAACAAAGCTAGCATACTCAGCTGAACCAGTTGCATCCCTTAGCCTTCAGTATGGTACTCCTTTGGCATGGCTATAACACTAAAGTAGCATTTTCCAGTTTACAATTGAGGAAAAGAGGAACTAGAAGGGTTTCTGCTACAGATGCCACTGAAACCAGGAAGCTACGATCGGATCATGGCTCTCAGCATGTGTGTAATATTGCTTGAGGGTTTCATTAAATGGATTTCTGCGTTTATAGTTTGTACAACACAAAACCGGATACCTGCTGTGGTTTTTGAAATAGAAATGTTTGTCAAAACAAGATTTATTTTATGTTGATGCCCCTTGCTGATTAATTTGCACCCACAGGTAATTGGTTTTTTTCCCCCATCTTACCTTCAAGGCCTTCTGAGCTCAAGTGGGAAGGTTTAGGTTTATAAATGTAGTTATAAACACTGTGGTTTAAAAGCAAATTTCCAAAACTGTAAGAAGCACTTTTAAACAAATGATTACGATTTTCAGACCAGTATTGATTGCTCCTCCATGAGCTGCATTTTCACACATAAAATACTCCATCTTCCCAGATATAAATGTAGTGTACTAGACTGCATTATACAGTTTTATTATAATATCCTTATAAAAGTTAACAAAAAGCACTGTATTGCATTACAAACTGGTTTGACTCATCGTATTCTTTTGATTACTGTTGAGTGATTCTTAATCGTGACCTAAGTACAATAAGGGCTCAAGCCTTAGCTTCATGTGGATAACTTGGTGAACTCCACAAAATAATCTGTGCAACTAAAGGTAAGAACTTGATTAATAAAGTTTTTAAGGAAGCACTTTGAATTAAATATGAGATAACAAGTAGTATAATATTTTGTCGTTTTTCTTTAAGTGGCTCTGACATACATTACATAGTTGCAATCATCACTAAATGCTAAAGAGTAAAATCCGTATGCAGAAATAAAGAGCTACCAGGTACATCCTACCTCATTAGTTTAAAAAAATTCAAATTAATACAAGCATTTATTCTGCTGCACTGTGTTCCGAAAAACCAGGCACATTAACCCATCCCCACATGTGGTAAGCTATGTATCTTGGGGTCTGATTAAATGGACTGTAAAGAATACCATCATCTTAGGCTCCACATTTCCCCTCCCTGTGAATGTTGGAGGACTGTAATTATCCCTACAGGGGTTTCCCATTAAAAATAATAACAGAATTCAACAGCAGACATCTTAACTGAATAAACCGTACCTCTGTAATAGTTCTGTAGAATTTGTACCACTACAGCAGTTTAGTTCACTGTGTTTAACATTGGAACTCATTTACAAAGAATGTGAAGATATGTTTCACAACACTGCAGAATTTAATTTGCTTTGTGGTGCATAGTATTGCAGTGTGACAATCACATTAAGATTTCTCTGTCTGGTAAAGAGGGGTTATATTTGAGCCTCTCTGCTTGAAGCTACTGAACCATCACTAGCGATTACAATAATTCCACGAGTAATTTAACAGCAGGAGAACAAAGTACAGTACAAACAATACAGCCTAAGATGTTTCCTTTAGCATTACAGAGACTACACAACCAGCTATAATAATAGTACATTTTCTACATAGTCAAATACAAATTTGTACAAATTCATTCAAAAAAGCATTGTTGGTGTTGTTACATGAAATAGAACCTGTGTAATCCTATTACCTTGATTCCCCTGATGTCTGAGGATCTCTTTAGACCTTATTTCTTAGCCCTTTACACACGTTTGGATGAAAACGTATTTTGATTATTCAAGAAAATACATCTGAATCATTTTTAAAATCATGGAAAACTGCTAGTAGTACCTCCAAATTTTAGACTTGTACAGTGATGTTGTTGTACTACAAAACTGGATATATGAACAGCTAAAAACCAAATAATTGAAGGAATAAATAAAATTAGATATACAGCAATACGTTCCAAAGTGCACAATGTTTTGTTAAATCATAGAGTTATACAGAATACTGCTCAAAAACAAGCTTGAAGAATTTTAAATATCACTATTACCACTAAGACACAATTGCTGAGATAAAACGAATCTGTGTCTAGTACGGATTTTTACAAGTGCTTTTTGGAAACATTTCTTAAGCTGGTACAACAAGTTCCATAAATATAATTCCCCATTGTACCTCTCCTGACCCTGATGGCATCTTTACAGGGATGTAAAATACTTCTACAAAAGACATCAGAAACCAAAGTGAATGTCATTTAAGATCATACTGGATCTTTCTCCAGCTTTCAGTGATCAAGTAGCTTTTTCCTACATCTCTGACTTCTGCACTGCCTCTGGAGTTTGTCTACCAGTTTTCCCATCTCCGTCCCCTTCCTAGCCTCTCTTCTCCTCCAGATTCCTGCTCTCTCCTTTATTTCCCCAGCTCAAACACTCAGGTCTTTTCTTCTTGTTACTTTACAGCATGGGATTAACTTCTACCTCGTCTATTTCACAAATATTATGAGTAATCATAATTCCTCAAACCTCATTAAATCACCTTGAAAGATTAGAAAGCACTATGATAAACAGCAATACATATACAGTAGCAATCACAGACCATCGGAAAGCATGTTGTGAAAACAAGGACGAAATGTTACATCCAACAATAACCCAGGTGTCCTAAGATACTGGTTACAAACCATTTTCTAAAAGAACCAGACATCTGAAAAGTTTACTGTTTATATATTCAAGACCCAAGACATCGAAGATCTTTTTCGTCAGAAAATGTAAGAAACGTAATATAATTTTACAACAACAAAAAGGACAGATTTAAATCAAGCTAACTCAACCATTCCTGTATGCAATTCCCTAGTCTAGCCACCAGATGGCAAAGTGACCCAATGGCTTCAAAGGAACGGAGAACTTGGGTTGTGGATTCACTACGCATCACCAAAACAGTGTAATGTAAAGCAGATTTTTAAGTTCTTGATTTATGGCAGTCCGCACAGATGTCATTGTAATTACTTTACAAAACGAACAACAACAACAAAAAACAAGCACAATGATCCCGAGATTAATTTTAAAAAAAGTTATACGTGTATATGACCTCACCTCCCCCACATCTGTCTCTACATAAACGAGACAAGTGTTGAATGGTTTAAAAAACAGGCCCTTGAGTTCAAATTCAAGTGCAAGCGTCCATATTAAAGTTAGACTTTGCAATATCACAGTTGCTTAACGCTTGCAAAGACCGGCGTTTCTGCGTTTTAAATATCACTGAATGGAACAACGGATAGTTAATAGTTAATAGTTTCAGAAATATTTCAGTCTTGCATTTTATGTCAAATAAATTGTTCATAGCAACGTGAATTGATGTTGCTTTTTATTTAGTTGTTGCTGCTTTCCAGTACCAGGATCTTAGAGACACTCCCCAGACTTTTTTAACACAAAAATTATCTTTACAAATTGCTTATCGCTAATGCACTAATCCTAACCGATTCTTCTTGCTCATTAAGGTATCTCACGTATTTGTACAAACCACTTAAACATCCCAGTTTTCCTCAAGCTTTTGCAAGGATCAGATGCTACCGCGTCACCACTGCAGAACTCGAATACTTGACTGGCTTTTAAAAAGTATCAATGTCTTTTTACCTTTATTTTTTTACGCAAAACGTCACTATTTGTTCATGTCAAAAAAGTATTTTACCAGTAACAATCTTTAAAAGTTCGGAAGTGAAGAAACGGAGAAATGGTTTCATGGTATTAAATTCATAGTGGATTGCCACTCGCCAATTTCCATAAATCTAGAGTATTCTGAATTATTACAGATTTATTAATACATAATAACGTGTTGCAAAAAATTAGCCCACTTTTAGAATCCAATGCGTTTATGTTCATTCTATTCATTCCGCTGCAATAACTGGTAGCCCTCTACAAACTTTCTCAGAGTGCAGGACTGAAAATGTATCTCTTTTCTGAAAGAAAATGTCATCGCATCTTTGGCAGGACTTGCTCATTGAGCAAGCACGGCTGTACGTACAATAGGTTGAAGCAGCAGAACACTGTCCCGTCCTTGGCACTAACTTCTCTCGTCTTGCTGTGCCTCTTTTCAAACACTGTTGCTGTCGTGCCTTGATAAATGCAACCGAAACAAGAGAAGCGAAATCCCACACCTGCTCTGGCCGACTCCGCTCCCTCTCTCTGGTGCAGGGCTCGGCTCCGAGCGGGTAGAAATCCGACACACTCTCAGATAAAAGCGCGTTATAACCCCCTCCTCGTCGGTCCGACGGTTATTTTTTTTTTACCTGAAAGTGCTCTCCAAGCTCGTAGACCTCTCCCCTGTACTCGCAGCCGATCTTCTCGCACCTGGGGCAGCAGTCGGTCGGGTAGTGGCTGACGTGAATGCAGGCAGCGGGCAGAGAGGCGCACTCCGTCCTGGCGCAGGCCGACCCCTCCACCGTGCACTCGCACTGGGTACACGGGTCCGAATCCAGAAAGTACCACTCGCCCACGTAATACACGCTGCCGTTCGCCTCGCAGGTGTTCACCTGTCCGGCGACGGAGAAAGCGAGTCCGCGGCGCGCACACAGGGCAACCACCAGCAAGGTTACAACAGGAGCGACCTGTCGGTAACGCATCTTTACGCGCAGTTCTTTTTTTCCCCCACTCCAAAAGAGCTGTGAAATGCTGGACTTGTCGGTCCTCCTTTCAAAACACCGGAAAGCGGCGGTTTCTCAACTATCAGGTCCTTCGAATTTCATTAAAGGGAGCCTCTGCGCTGTTGAAAGTCTTTTTGTCTTCGAAACCCGTCGATAGAAAAACTCGGAGGGAAAGTGTCCATCTGTTTCTGCTACATCCTCTTCTTCAACAACGGTTTTGATGGTTTGCGCTTTCTGTGCATTGTTTGAAGCGTTTTATTTTGAAATGAAAAGCACGCTTCCCCTTTGGATAAACCGTCAGGGTTTGTCAAATGATGGAAAATCGCTTTTTTTTTTTTAAAAAAAAAGAAAAGTTATTCCTCGGGTTTACCTCCTGTAAATCCAATTCGCTGTGGCAGGTATCCCTTCGTCCCGGTTGAAGTTAGAAGAACTGCGGCTTTTTCCTCCTCTGCTGGGGTTGCATTTCCACCCGAGCCCAAGGACACGTGACAGCCTTCATCCAAACCCCCACGCAGTTCTGGGCAGCCTCCCCGTCCTTTAACACGTTTGAAGAACAACATTACTCCACGTCCGCAGCCTTCTTTTCCACAAAGGGAAACGAGACATGTTGCTAAACCGAATAATGCGCTCTAATCCGCCTGTGACAAATACCGAACGAAGACGTCTTTGGTTGTTTCAAGAGTTGGCGTCTGGCGAGGTTGCGCTTGTGCAAAAGCACCAAGCTGTGACTAAAGATAAAGTCTGAATCTCGGACACCCCTTGAACTGTCACCAACGTGTCTGGTGGTACAAACACCCACCCAGAAGGAATCGCGCGTAATAGTTATCTTCTGCAAAAACTTCCACAAAAAAAACCCAAACCAACTTACATTTGGTAAACTGTAGACTACAGTATATTCCAAACAAAACACGCTTAAAGGCCCTGTGACATCCTATTTCCTTGTAATAACTGCGCTCTTTAGTTAACTAGCGTTAAAGTGTTTCAAATCCCACGGACAGACCCACCACGATGAGCTAATAGTTCTAGGTATATAATAAGAAATTACTCATTAAGGAAGAAAAGATATTAGGATTCTTACTATTATTAACACTTAATCATTCGTACAATTCCTTAAGTACTCCTAAACGAAGCGTCTAAGACTCAGATTCTGGAGAGCTTAGTAACTTCTGTCTGTTTCTGTTTTGTTTTACAGCCTGAGCTGTCAATTAAACAATTATACATACTTTCTTAAACATACATAGAACTTAATGTCTTGTTCACTAAAAATGTTTGCTTTACTAAAGATAGTTAACAAGTAATTGAGTCAAGTCACTGAGCTCATGTAAATTAACTGCTGTATTTACAAAACATGGTATAACAAATAGCTAAAACATTGCTTGTATTGTTTACAGTAAAAAGAACTGAAGAAGAACTGGCATTTGGGTTTTTATCAGCAAAAACAATACGCAGAGATTTCGATGAATAGTTCATTACAAAAATTAAGAGTATTCTCAAGTGAACTTCGGTAGGATGGTTGGTTTGCAGTGTTTTAAGATGAAGTGACCACAAACAAGCACAGTATTGTCAAAAACTGTACAAGGTCAGTAAAAAAACTACTACATTGAAAAAAAAAGTAAATAATCTATTTAATCTTGAGTATTCTTTTTTATCTTTATTACATTTCTGCATCTCTGAAACTCAAATTCGGAGATAATCATGTTTTTGAACAATCATGCTACAGTTTATATGTTTTACTTTTAGCGGCGCTGAATGTATCACTCTTAGTGTAGTCGAATATAACTTTAATTCTTTATTATTATATTACCTTTTCGTATTTTTATTTTTTTACCAGCATTACGCTGCAAGTGTTTTTTTTTTTTACTTTAATTAGCTTGGAGTAAGCGCTTTCGAAATGATACTCCACCTTAAATCTGTAAATTCCATAAACTTCAAAAAAGCTAGACAGAACAGCATGTTTTACGTTGAACTTGCAAAAAGAACAATAACACAGGTACCTAAATGAGCAACTACACTACCCGAGCTTTATCAATCTTGAGGATTATAATCTCAGTTTCCTTTTTGCGCTAAACATTAAACCGACAATAAAACAAATTGTTATATAGTTTTATATCAAGAGTATATCAGCACAAAAAAAAATAATAAAAGTATATCAGCACTGTAAAACTCGAATTATCTCGCGATATTTCTACCTGGAGACGGGATTGTATTTCCTGGATACAGGAAACCAAAGTTAAGTGTGACAGAGGGGGACCTGGCTCTACGGTATGAAATCAGTGAGTTTAAAAACGAAGTAAGTTACATTGACTGTCTTGTATCTGTGCCGGTGTTAGCACCTTATTTCGTTTTATTGTTACATGCAGAGGCGTCCGGTGATAACTCTCAAATTTGGTGCATCACAGGGGTGTCATAAACGTGGAAAGCAGCCCATAAACTTTAAGCGTACCAAACCACTATGTGCGATCAGATCAAAATTCAGGTTAACGGAACGGATTAAACAATACAATGAAACAAAAAAACTCAGGTGCAAATAGACGGTAGCGGTTATGTTTTAAGGGAAGTTTAAAGTTAAACTTTTTAGTTGAAAAAAAAGTTGAAAGGCCTCGTAGGTTTACGCGTTTGGTGAGCTTGCAAGTACAGGTCTGCTGATGGTATTTATCAGGAATATCGACACCGTGTGAAAGCATCCCGTGCTGAACGGAAGAGTTTGCGATTTTACATGCCGTCTGCTTCCCCATCTCGCTGTCTGAAACCAGGTGACCCTGTTTTGGTCTGGCGCAGCAGATGCCGGGCGTGACGAATTGCTGTCCTTCGAAGATCTCCGTTTATGGCTGCGCAAGCTGGTGATGGAGATGGCAGCTTCATGGATGCAGCTGAGCCTCCAGAGTCTTTGTGGAAGTTGATCAAGGAGCATGTGCCCGAATCAGAACTTCCAGAGATCAGGAGTCTCCTAGGAGATTCCCTGGTGGACCTGAATGTAGAGATGCACTCTGAGGTATGGGAGAAGTGTGCAAGAGAGAGGCCAGTTGCTTGTGTCACTGATTCGCTATGAGTATGGTCGCAAATTAAATTTCCCCATTTGCTGAAAAAAAAACAGGTACTGTAAATATAATTTCCATCTGTAGTGTTTTGGAATGCTCCAGGGGGGTATACTGAGCATGGGCAGGATGTGTTTCAGAGCTGGAAATCTCATTACATCCTCAAGGAAATGAGATTTTCGCTCTCTACATACAGTCTTTACAGTGTGGAAGTCACAAGAAAACACAGAGCAAGAACAGTACTAAGACTGGGTCAAAGCTGGAATTATGTGTCCTAAATAGAATGGGTTTGTGTTCGCAACATTTAGCATATGAGTGCGTTTGTGCAGATAGTTAAGTATTAAAGAAACAGGAGTCAAAAAAGTAAATCTGCTTTCCTAAAAAGTATGAACAGAAAATAGCTTACACTGCCAGACTGTAAAGGAAATGGGATTCTAGTTTAACCATTTATTCATTTGTAGATTTTTTAATATACAGTATTTCGGTGCTTTCAGAGTCTAAACATTAAACGCACCTTGCGTTTGTTTTTGAGGGGGTTTGTCATGTAGATCTGCTATTTATTTCACAACCTAGTGGTCTAATGTCACTTCAGTGCTAAGATGCAAATAAGTCAGAACTCAATACTATTAAGCAGATGGCAGACAAAAATTAAACAGCATGTTTGTGGAAGTAAATTGCAGATGGTCGAGATATGGTGATTATGACAACAGCACAATTAACCAACAAGGGATATGAATCCCAGATCTTATTTAATTTTTTCTAGTGGGCTGGGGGGAGTTATCATTGTTGGATGCACACAGCATGGTTTCACATCCAGGCGTGATGGAATTTTTGATACGGTTTAGAAATATTTTTATCATATACAGCATATGTTATATCTCATATGCTATAAAGAGTATTTATGGCAAATCAAGTGCCATATTGTGCTGCATAAGCACGATATTTCAACACGTCGCCTAAAAGTTATTTTAAACGTGGTTCTACTTGCAATGCTTTTTCTCTTGTTTTCAAGTTGCAGAAAAGTGGGCAGCCTGGCACCAGGCCATGATCTCAAAAGTACTAAGCCCACAGAAGCTGTTGACTTTGGAAACGCACCCAAGAGAATAGTGGGTTTCACTTGAAAGAGCCAAAGGGTGGAAAAATATTCCTTCACCCAGCTCAGGAAGCTGTGGTTTTTGTCAAATTCAGTAATGTTGTGCCTGCAAATACACAAATACTTTACATCATTTCTTAGAATTAAAGCAATGTAAACTGAGTACAAAACTAATGTAGCTATCTGTTTTCTTTATTTTAATGTGCTTCCTTTCGACATTATGACTCAGTGTCTGAAGCTTGGAACAGAAGATGCATGCTTCCACCTTAGTCTTATCTGAACAGACCGAGTCTTGTACAGTGCTGGAGTTTTGTTTGTTACAGTTTGGAATTGCAGTTGTGGTATTTAGTTGTGGTATTTGTTACTTGGCAATACTCCTGGTTGTCAGTTCCTGATTGGAATCTCCAGCTTCAGATAAACTTTGCTTAAGTGCTTTGACCCTGGTGTCAGAATAGAAGGGATTTGAGCCATGCAACCTTGTGTCTGTAATGGCTGTTGTCTGGCTGTTGTTTTATCATGAACTCCACTGTACCTACAGCAAAGGCAGAATCTGTTGGAGGAGTCACGCAATTCTCACAGTAGCTCACACCACAAGCTCAAAAGCATCCAACCCATCAGTGGCCTGGCTGGAGCTTGGCAAACAAAAAGGAACTCAACCCCTCCTCATCGTGGTAGCGTTTGGCCAATTTTGCACCACTGCCTGGGAAATCTCAGAGAACCTCTGAGAATGAGAATATCTGAGAATGTGATACTGTTAGCTAATATTATAGCCCAGACTCAAATTAATGTTGTCTGTGATATTGACTTTAAAGTGCACTCCGAGTGTGCACCTTGACTGTCTGAGCCCCGAGGAGTCCCCTGAGCTGAGTTTAATAAACGTGCAATATGCACTATCTTACTGTAATGTAGGATAAGCACAGGATAGCGACACAGTGATTGATGATTCAAAATACACACAATCCTATCTATTACTGTAATATGGGCTTTTGGCCTCTGTAAGGTTCTTTCTTGAGAAATGGTATTCTCTTACAGCTGCTTTTAAAACAGCATTCTGATATGAAGACTTCATATGTCCCAGTTACTTTATTATTATCACAAATTCAATATGTATGCAAGACATTTTGGCAGCTAAAGCATTCATTGCATGTAAGAAGATGCTGATGTTGATGCTAATTTGTGTGTAATTTAGAAAAAGGAATATGGAGGCGTTTTCTGTCAGCTCTGAAAACTTAAGAATATGAAGTAAATACTATTACTTTACTACCTCTTCATTGTATTTTGTATGGCTATAGCTTAACATATTTATATTTAAATATTAATCTGGGTGACTGCTGTTTATTTAATTTGTATTCACAGGTACCAAGAATCTTAATCGAGGTATCCTTTAGATTTTAGGCTCTGAAATAAAACAATAAATTACAAGACTAATGTTTTTACCTAGAGATAAAATCAGAATGTAAGGAAAGCTATTTCACTGTACCGTTCAACCAAAAAGTGAAATGAATGAAAGATGAGATAATAGGCCTATTTTTAGCATATTTTTTAAGCAGCAAAAATATATATTAGAAATTGAGTTCTGCTAAGGCTTTACATCACAACAGCCTTGAAAGGGACCATATACATTCAACAAATTA